CACCCAGCCTCCGCTTGAAAACGTCCAGCAAAGGAGCATCTATCACCTCCTGAGGCAGACTGTTCCACTGCTCAACCAACCACTCTTACAGTTAGGAAGTTTCTCCTGATATTGAGCCGGTAACGACTACCTTTTCATTTCCACCCCTTAGACCTAGTCTTGCAATCCGGAGCAAGGGAGAATAGATCTGCTCCATCTTCTACATGACAGCCTTTCAAATACTTGAAGACTGCAATCATGTCCCCTCTAAGCCTTCTCTTTCCCAGGCTAAACATCCATCCTGGTTGCCCTCTTCTGGACACGCTCGAGCTTGTCAACACCCTTCCTAAAATGTGGTGCCCAAAACTGGACACAGGACTCCAGGTGAGGCCTGACCATAGCAGAACAGAGCGGAACGACCACCTCCCGTGATCTGGACACAATGCTTCTGTTAATGCATCCGAAGATTGCATTAGCTGTTTGCTCTGAGGCTCTCCTTCCTGAGCTAAGACAAAAAAGTGTGAGCCAGAGGCTAAAAAACTGTGAGCTAGCTCACACTAACTCAGCTTAGGGGAAACACTGTACTGGACCCTTGCTCTTTTCTATGGTACATACTCGGCTGAGGTCCCTCCCCCTTCCCAAACTCCGCCTTCTCCAGGCTCCAGCCCAAAAGCCTCCAGGAGTTTCCCAAACCAAAGTTGGCAACCTTACAGGTGGAAGCTGTTTTTCAATGTATCCTCCATGAACCTGTGTAACCCTGCTTCAAAAGCCATCTAAGCTAGTAGCCGTCGCTGTATCTAGCGGCAGGGAGTTCCAAAGTTAATTCAGTGGCATGTGTAGCAAGTTATGCCAGTCTTGAACTTCCTGTTAGTCAGGAACCCACCTGGGGTTTTCATGTAGGGGAGAGGGAGGAGGGAAACTTCCTGTTCTGTACACGGTGTGGAATTTTAGAAAACTTTTCCCTGTGTATTAAAAAAGCCCAAAAACTTTTGCCTTTCTTCTGAGAGAAAGTTTGGTGTAGTGCTTAAGTGCGCGGACTCTAATCTGGGAGCACCGGGTTTGATTCCCCACTCCTCCACTTGCACCTGGTGGATGACCTCGGGCAAGCTGGAGTTCTGATAAGAGCTGTCCTTGAAAAAGAGCAGTTTCTGCCAGAGCTCTCTCAGTCCCACCTACCTCACAGGGTATCTGTTGTGGGGAGGGGAAGGGAAAGGAGTTTGTAAGCCGCTCTGGGACTCCTTTGGGTAGTGAAGGGCAGGATATAAATCCAATCTCCTCTTCCTCCTCCTCCTCCTCCTCCTCCTTGTGAAAGGCGGGGTATAAATCCAATCTCCTCCTCCTCCTCCTCCTCCTCCTCCTCCTCCTCCTCTTCATCTAAAGCACTCCTTGATCATATTCATTGCATGCGTCTATAACTTTTCCAGCTCAACAATATGCTTTTGAGATTTTCCATTGCTTACACGGCCCCGACCAAGAAAGCCTTTGCCGGATTGTCCCTTACTCACAATGCACCTCCTCTTCAATCCTTTATTATCCAGCAGCTGCAGAACTGGCTCGTCTAAGAGTTTGGAAATTCGCGAGGGTTACTATGAAACTGGGAGAACTTTCCACCCACCTCCTGGCAGCCCCTCTTCCCTCCTTAGTTTCGGGAACGGCTTCTCTTCCAAAGCTTTCGGTTTCACAGGGCAGCCCTGCATTCTAGTATGACGGGAGCCAGATAAAAGTTTCTCAGCATGCACCAAAGATAGCCGACAAAGACCTTTCTCCTTCTAACCGAGCCAGTTTGGTGTCGTGGTTAAGTGTGCGGACTCTAATCTGGGAAAACCGGGTTTGATTCTCCACTCCTCCATTTGCACCTGCTGGATGACCTCGGGCAAGGCATAGTTCTGATAAGAGCTGTTCTTGAAAAAGGGCCGTTTCTGTCAGAGCTCTCTCAGCCCCACCCACCTCACAGGGTGTCTGTTGTGGGGAGGGGAAGGGAAAGGAGTTTGTCAGCCGCTCTGAGACTCCAAGTGAAGGGCGGGGTATAAATCCAATCTCTTCTTCTTCTTCTTTCTTCTTCTTTCTTCTTCTTTCTTCTTCTTTCTTCTTCTTTCTTCTTCTTTCTTCTTCTTTCT